TTCCAGTATTCCCTGTTGAGGTATTTACCTATCAAGGTGCTTACCTTGATAAACAGAAGTGTAGCCTGTCAGGCAGTAGAACATCTACTGTCCCCTCTGGCTGCTAACTGATGCTAATATGGTGGTTTTATGTTACAGCTGCTTTTCTTCAAGTTGGGAGAACAACTTAGGGGTTTCAGGGAATGCTTGTTATAGTAAAAGATGTATACATAATAAATAACTTCAAAATTTAAAAAATTTTATGTTTATGGGGTGCACTATGTTTTGATACATGTATCCATGGAGTGATTAAATCAGGCTAATTAACACACTCATCACCTCACATACTTAACCATTTATGATGAGAAATTTCAAATCCACTCAGCAATTTTGAAATACACAATGCATTGATATTATCAGGCTGGGATCCCAAGCAGGGCCCCATGCGGGTTAGGCAGCTGCTCTACCATTGATTATTAACAATGCTCATCTTTTTTTGTTTGTTTTGAGGCAGGGTCTCACTGTGCAAGTCAGCCTGGCCTTTAGCTCACTTTGTAGCTCAGATTGGCCTCAAACTTGCAACAATCCTCCTTCCTCAGCCTCCTGAGTGCCAGGATTACAGGTGTGCTCCTCCATGCCCAGCAACAATGCTCCTTCTGTTAAGTGAAATGTGGTATTGATACAGGCGAAAGAAACTCCCAACCTGAATGATCTGGGATGATTTCGTGTTCTCTAAAATCAAAGAATGAATTTTAGGAACAACAGAGGTTAAGAGCAGAATTTATTGAGGGAAAGAAGGGACAGAGGGGGCCCAAGTGGGTTGCCAAGGACCCTGTCTTTCCTAGGGACTTTTATAGAGCCAAACCACAAGGTGAGGTGGATCCAAGGTAGGGGGGAACAATGGGAAATCCCAAAGTGGGCATGAAGTAAGACAAAACTCTGGCCAGCCAGTAAGAATGTTCAGGTAAAATTTATTAAATCAAGATCAAATGGGGAAGCGAGTCACATAGCATGAATACAGAATAGGGGCTTCTTGTGTAAGGGGTTGGGTCAGTTACTCTTCAAGGTGATAGGCTACCTATTTAGAATATCAATCCCTGATGTCCATCCCTAGGGAGGTATGTGGGTGCATTTGTTTAGTCCTTTGTCTTGAGGTCTGGACTGCAGCAAGTATGTCTCCATTTGCCAGGTATCTTGTCTTCTAAAGGCTCCTTCCAGGGCCTGGCCCTGTCTGACTGCCTATAATGTTTCTATCTGACTCAGATGCCTATAACAGTATCATTTCTGAATTCTGAAACTTTATTTAAAATTTTACTTTATCTTTTCAGGTTATAATCTTTTGAGGGTAGTAATGCATTTCTTTCAAAGACGTTAATGAATATAATGTGTCAAAAACAGCTTCATCCAGATGAATAATAATGCCAGGCTTATGGTCTCTACTACTGAATAATGCAACCTTGAGAAATTAATTCAATAATCAATTTTTTCAAAATGAAATGGAAGATAACTTTTTTTTTATTTTAAAAGTAAAAGGAGGAAAACATTAACAGACAGACAACATTTTACAACATAGCAAAAGAACAGTACGGACAATACGGAGTTACAAAGTGGTAGGGAATTAGCAATGGTTGTTGTATTACATATTGATATCTTCAAAGTGGTTTCTCATGAAAACAGATATAGAAATGCAGTACTGATCAACCAAAGACTCATTGACAGTTTCTTTCTGCATAGAAATAGAAGACAGAAGAACAACCATGTTAACTATCCTGTATATACATACATACAAAATTTCTCCTTCTTTCCCTTCTTTTTTCCCACATCCCAGTTGCCTTTTACTCTTGAGCGTTTTCCTATCATTTCAGTGTCTATCATACCTCCGAGTTTAAATTAACTCTTTCAAGTAATGGAAAATAACTTGGATATTTAGGGTTATTCCATCCCTCAAAATTGAGAATGCTAGAAAATTAACCTTACTTGAGTGAAAAAAAATAAGAAAACTGTTGGAAGAAACCTCTTATGTTTGTAATTGCTTGCTGCAGTTTCATTTTAAAAACAGACCTCTGGGAAGAATGGTGAGTGTATTTTCCTGATTGCCTTCTCTGGATGCAGCCAAGAGCCCTGGACATGAGGCTGGAACAAATCCGCGGGGATGTGAAATGGGAGAGGAAGGTGCCCTGGTCAGCTCCCTGAGTTTTCCTGTTGACTTATTCCAGACTTTAGCACGACAAGCTGACAACCCAGACCGCAGGCCCAAACCAACCCCAAACCAACAAAGGAACCCCCAAACCCGAGACCCAACAAAGGAACCCCTAAACCCAAGACCCAACAAAAAAAACAAGCCCCAGAGGCTGCTGCCTCGGGGAAGGACCAGGAGATGGCAGTGTGGGAGGCCCAGGGAGTGGTAATGACTGCGCTGCTGATGCCACCGCCACTGAGGAAGTTGCAGCCATGCCCCGGCTGTGAAAGCGGGTGGGCACCGAGCCTCGCACTGCTCCCAGCACTATCCTGGGCTCCCCTGCACCTGCCCAGCTGCCTTAGGCGCACCGCGGTGGAGGTCAAAGCCTCCCGGGCATCCTCAGTGCAGATAGACCCTGCGCCAGGCCCCTGCCAGGCTGTTCCAGAGGAGACTGTGGCATCCATTTAGTCTGGGCCACCCCTTCCCTGGTCACTGGGAGCCAGAGGAGGAGGAAGGAGCGTGAAGCTCCTGCTCTCACTAACTGGGGAGCAGGAGACCTCAATTGGCCCAACGAGGCACCTCGACCAGCACTTCCACTCCCTCTGCCAAGACATTTACACAGGGTTCACGCCACATAATACTGCAGACCTCCGGTTAACAGGAAGTCACTCATGCCAGGAACCTGGAGGGTCTCAGGGAAAGAAGACAATGACTAGGTCCAACCCTGAGATGATCAAGGGGGCAGAATCATCTGATCCAGGCCCGAAGGAAACCACCATAAAATGCTGCCACCAGCAGTACAGACAGGCTTGAACTAAATAAAAAGTAGGACGTATACATAAAGAGATGAAGATACAAAGATATACACAGAGCCGGGCATGCTGGCGCATGCCTGTAATCCCAGCACTCAGGAGGCTGAGGCAGGAGGATCATTGCAAGTTCAACGCCAGCCTGGGCTACAAAGTGAGCTCAAGGACAGCCTGAACTGCATAGTGAGACCCTGTCTCAAAAAAAGACAAAGAAAAAGAACCAAAAACAAAAACAAAGACACACACAGAAAATTTAGAGCTGAAAAATATAGCAGCCAAAACCCTCAGTGGGTTGGACTCAACATGGAGAAGATAGAGAAACAGCAAACCTGAAGATAACATGAGAGAAATGCTGGGGCTAGTGGTGTATGCCTGTAATCCCAGAACTTGGGAGGCTAAGGCAGGAGGATCACGGTGGGTTCAAGGCTGTTGGGGCTACATAGTGAGTTCAGGGCCAGCCTGAACTACATAGCAAGATATTATCTCACCCCTATGCTCCCCAAAGAAAAAGAAAAAGAGAAGAGGAAGAAGATGAGAGAAACAATCCTGAACAACAAAGAAAAAAAGACTGGAAAAAATTCAAAAACCTTCGAGGACCTGTAGGCCAAGGCAGAAGATTTAACATTCTTATCATCAGAGCCCTCGAAGAGAAAGAGAAGGCTGAACTGAACTAGAAGAAATCTCGGCTAAAAACTAAGAAGCCCACAGATGCGAGGCTTCGAGATCTATTAAACAAAATGCATCCAGAACTACCCGTTCGGTGGAGGCAGGGACTCCGGGGAGCTTCTGGAACCTGGGTAGGAAGCGGAAGGCAGCAGGTGAGAAGAGCTGCTCAGGCTCAGAGCTGTCTCTGACAGCTGAGCCCGTCTCTGGTCCTCCAGTGAGGCCTGGCAAACGCTCAGCAGAGGATGCTGAGAAAAGAGACAGGGGAGGACTGGGGCCCAGCATCCCTTTTAAGGTTGCGCCCAAGGGCAAATCTCCTCCCACCCTGCTCCACCTGCAAAAGGCTCCAGAGCTTCCCAAGAGCCTCAGAGCCAGGACGGAGCCTTTCCACGGGCCTTGGGAAGACACCACATCCCCTGACATGAGCCACTGTGTTACGGCAGAAAATTCCTGTCTGTCCCAAACATTCCACAAGAGATGCCAATCGCCAGTGAGAACAAATCAGAGTTTAATTTGAGGCTAGCCACCCTCACTTCCTTTGCCAATCTGGAAGCGGGGGCCCATGGCT